CTCAATCGTGGAACTCGGCATCGAAGAAATTCGTGCGGTAGGGCGTGTAGAGCTCATGCCACACTTCGTAGCGCTCGTCGTGCGTGTAGATGGATGGTTGCCACCCTCATAGTTGGAGTTGCGTGTTGGGCTCAAATTGGAAGTTGCAGGATTGATGTCCTTGTCGGCCTCCAGCTGACATAGACATGATGCCTTGTTGCAGGCAGATTCCGTCATCTTGCTCCTCAGTCGCCGCAAGCTCGACCAGATGCCACTCACTCCGCCTTCTTCGACTCCGCCTCGGAGTCCGGAATCTCCTCCACCGTGTCCTCGGAGTTCACGCTCATGGCAATTGGTCCCCGCGTCGCCGTCGACGCCATTGGCCGCCCAGCATAGCCCTTGTCCTGGATCTCCTTCTTCACAGAGTTGTCCTGCGGCTTCTCCTTCTCCTTGCTCGGGGATCGGACCTTCTTGGGAGTCACCGGCTCGCTGTCCTCCTTGCTCTTTCGAGTAGGGCTCGTCTTTCGAGTCTCTCCGCAAGCCGTCGATGCCATCAAGGCTTCTCCCAACTTCTCGTCCGCCCGGGCTTGCACATTGGTCCGGCCCTGTCCGCCTCTGTGCACCAGGATGCGACCCCTGATTTCCATCAGCTTCCGGTTGAAGATCTTCTCTGTCATCTCTGATGGCTTGAAGTCGGGCCGCACTTCCTCTTGGGCTTGCTCCACTTGATCTGGTGGCGGGCCAATTGCCCTGGTCTGTCCAGTCGCCTTGCCCTTGGTCACGTAGCGAAGACGTAGACCGCATCGAGAGATCCAAGATGGGCATGCCTTCATCCTCCAGGTGGGATGGATAGGCTTCTCGATGCTCGTGCAACCGCTGAGCCAAGATGCTGAGGTGGTCGTCAAACTCAGACAATCCACTCTTCGTCACCATCATGATCATACCGTTCAGTGGAATGGCTGACTGGCAATCTTCATGAACTTCTACATGTTGTGACTCATCTGGTTGAGAAACAGTTGACAGCTGCGTGACTGCGCTTGACTCATGTGGATGTGTCTCTTCTGGATGAGGATGAGTCTCCATGTCTTCAACACACGATGAGCGACAGACAGCTGCAGAAGGCGACATGTATTCACAGGGCGCAGGAAGCTCCGAAGAAGGTCGCTCCTCTGAGGCTCTTACAGCCGTTGAGGGCTCAGCCATCGGTTCAACGACCACTGATGGCGAAGTTGGAGAATAGTTGGAATCTAGCTCTAAGGCAGGCCGCTCAGCATGTCCATCAACCCAATCTCACCGTAGTCTTCAGCAAACGGGCAGTAGGATCTTCTCGCTTTCTCTTCGCTTCACGATCTTCACCTTCAGGATCGCGAGGTCCGTCATCCCGAACTTCTCCAGAACGTCCACCTTCGGGAGGAGTTCGCCCACAGCATGAGGCCCCCCTAGTTAAAACACTTGTAACTTACTTGGTGAAGTTACAAATTACTTAAAACTAAGTTAGCTGGAGGGCTTCGTAAGTAAGATGTAACTTAAATGTAACTATTTTTAAGTTCTATAAGTTCTAATTGGTGGTTTTTGATGTTCAAAAACTATGTTTTTTCAGGTTTCCGAGTAGCAAGGCCCAAATCGAAGGACATCGAAAAACTATGCTCTTTACCTGGGAAAGCGCTGCTGTTGCAAGGGTTTTTTAATGTAGAACACTCACCGCGCCGCTTTGCTGAAGAAAAGCAAAAAGCCCAAAAAAAAACAAAATATGTGTTTCGAATTTCTTCGGTGGACAACCACCGCGCTAAAAGAAAAACACTTTCTACTTTAAACCATCAAAACGCATGAGAAAAACAGAACACACACAATGACCTACATCTGTGTGTTAGGAACACGCTGGGCGGTGGTCCGTCCAAAAAATTGAAGGCGGTGGTCCGTCCAAAAAATTGAAGGAGGTGGTCCGTCCAAAAAAGTTGATGGCGGTGGTCCGTCCAAAAATTTTGATGGCGGTGGTCCGTCCAAAAAGTTGTGGCCGGTGCCCCAAAAACGCGGTGCACCCTGATGAACAAGAGGCTATATGTACAGTAGATGTACGGTAATGTACGGTAGATGTACGGTAATGTACGGTAGATGTACGGGAATGTACGGTAGATGTACGGGAATGTACGGTAATGTACATCTACCATACATTACCGTACATCTACTGTACATTTAGCCTCTTGTTCATCAGGTTACATCAGATCTTTTGGGGGACTGTGTGTGTGTGCGTCTTGCGATGCGTCACGGACAGACAAGGATCTACTCCTCAATTTTGGGGCGCGATCCAGCTTAATGGCTTCTAGTTGTTCCATGGCCTACATGATGGATTCGTTACACTATATTCTACTACGTGTGCGTGTTGCATGTTTACGTGTTTCTGTGTGCAAAGTACTACTCTGTCGTACGGGTGGACCACCACCCCACAAATTATTCACGACTAAAACATAAAAAAACAATCGCGCCCATAAAAACGGAAAAAATGTTTCCACAACAACACAAAATACAAAGATTTGCTAATCAGTCTCAGTTCTACACAAAAAAGAAGAGTACACCAAAAAACACTAAAAAACGCTTCTCTGCAAGCCCGTCCACAAAAAAACATAGTTTTTTCAATGCAAAAACCTAAGTTCCCTAAGTAAGTTGTAAGTGATTTAGCACTAATTTAGCACCCTCCAACATAAACTAGGATAACTTACTTATATATATCGAAAGTAATTTGTAACTGCAACGTAAATACCACCAAGAACTTAGAACACTTCACAATCTTAGACCAGCTTACAACATCAGTTAACCCATGTTATAACATATGTTACGGCACTTTACAAGTTCTCCAACTAGGGGGGCCTGGTGTTGCAGGTGGAGGATGGTTTGGAGGTCGAGGCTGATCGTCATTTTCATCACCATCATTCTCATCATTGCCGCCGTAGCCACCCGGGTTGTTGAAGGGTGGTCCATCCAGGTGCTCCAGTAGGAGTCGTAGAGGAAGACGGCGGGTTGCCAAAGAAAGGGTCAGGTGACCTCCTGGTGAAGTGATCAGCTCAGTGGCAAACCATGCTCCATTGTGACCACGATGCGCCATGTAGTCACCATGGTAGGAAATCACCGCTCGGCGCTTCCGCATGTCGCGGGCCCCAAGCAACAATGGAGTCATCTCCGCACCACTGTCAAGGAGGTTCAAATCAGTCTGGTCGAAGAGGCTCATGACATAGATCTCAGGAACCCATTCAGCTTCTGCGAAGAAGGTCTTTCCTTTCTTGCCCTTAGAGCCTCCCTTGCCCTTGCCTTTTCCACGCCCACCAAATGAAGAGCTCCTCGACGAAGATGGAGATGCACCTTTCTTGCCGCCTTTGGACCAGCGGTCAGGGCACTTCAGATACCCGTGACCGGGCTGACCGCAGATGAAGCACGGTCCGAAGCCACCTCCAACACCTTCTCCCTTTCCAAGAGCTGGCCCTTTTCTCTTTCCTTTGCCGCCACCAAGACTCCCAGGATGTCCTTTCGTGCCTGTAGGATCAAAATGACCCCGTGCAGCACGAACACGAGCAACAGCCTGTCTTGCTTCGGCCAATGTCTTGTTGGCATCCGCGGCCAATGCAAAGGCTTCTTCAACTCGCTGCTCATTCTCGAGCTCCTCCTTCGTCTTCTCCTCCGGCTCCTCCGGGTAGTAGTCATTCTCCTGGATGTAGTCCTCATAGGAACCACCATCGTCCCATGAAGTTGGACTCCATGACGGGCTCCAGTCATTCCAGAAGATGTCCTCGCTCCACCAACTTGGATCTTCCATCTCCCAATCCTCACCTTCATCGGCCGCATACCAGACAGAGCGTCTTGGCAGCCTTCCAGGATCGTCAGCTTGATCAGCACCATCAGAAAATAGCGATCGTAGAGCTTGCCTGATCTGGGTGAAGTGGGTCGAGTTCTTCGTCAGCGTGAGGACGTGCTGACGTTCAGCCTGGGTGAGCTTGGCTGCTTTCAACAACCTGTAACCCCTGAGCTCATGCTCAAAGAATCCAGCGTTCTCGCCCTGGGAGGTCTCGACAACCTTCTCATCCTCAGCCGCGAAGGAATCATCTTCTCTCACCGAACTCAATCCTGCTCTCGTCACATTGGGTGACCTTGTAGGGGACATAGGAGGGTCCCTTTCGCTCGCTCCGACACCCATGGACTTCACCTCATGGCGAGCTCGTTCATGGCGTGCACGTTGTAGTGCCTGCTGGAGCTCCGTGAAGAGCTCTTCCTCTCTCACCAGCAGCTGTGGGATCGCCTCGCCATGAGCTCGCTTCAGACCTGTCCACTTCTCCAATCTCGAGAAGCTGTCGGGGATTGGAAACTTCTGCAGTGGTGAGTCTCTGAGGACCCGCAGGAGCTTCTCCAGGCCAGTGTCCGAGGAGAAATCCTTGGGGTCAAGGTGGCGAACCACCGATTTTGCAGCGCCCTGCAATCTCTGCCAAATCCGAGGTGCCGCAAGCTTTCTCTCTGTCTCCTTGAGGGAGCATTCAAACCACCTGCACGATGTAGCGAATGCTTCAAAGGAAGACGGGTCACCGTCCCAGATCGGGACGTCTTCCGCCGGCATGGCGCCAGCTCACCACCAAAGCGCCCCAGCTCCTCACCAGGGAGCTCCGCCTACCATGAAAGGCAACGGGGCCAACCAATGGCCAAAACACGGACCTCCAAGGTCCACCGTGCGTCCGCGCCCGAACTGCTTTTCCGCTCGAGCCCCGCCCTTCCGGGGTGACGTGTCAAAGGTTCATGACATGCGACCTCACGCGCACAAGAATGAAATGTGTTGGCGGGCGAGATCTTCCCACTAGGCGGGGCGATGTCTTGTTGTGACATGTGGCGCAGTGAGCGCACGGTGTCCCACGCAACCCGGCTTGGGGAAGCCATCTGTTACAAGGTGGCACATTGTTAGGTGAATGATTGGTATGCTACGTGAGATGCGAGTTGTTCGGAGTACTGCAGCCTGCCAACCTAAACTTCCATTGAAGCCTAGTTGCTTAAATTCCGGATTTACCTTTGCAGGCGTATCTTCTGTGATGAACAGGCCTTCAGGGCTGCGTGTAATGACTGCTAGTGGCAGGATTGAACACAACCATGTCTTGTTCTGCCCCAGCGCGCCTTCCTCGCAGGAAATGATGTATTGACATCCTGCAAAACTTCATGGCGGGTGTCTACATTCTACAAGATCAGCGGGTTGTCAGGACTTAGGCTCACGCCACTCAAGATTGCGCCTGTACTTTCACATCTGGCCTACTCATTGTAGTCTAGAAAAACGCAAGGACACGCAGAAAACCGGTAAAACATGGTAAAACACATGCTGGATGTAAAACACAAGTCAACAGCGACACTGCGCACAATATACAGAGAAACCGAGTCCCCAAACAATGACAGAACCGGATAGCCAAACCTCGTGTTCAGGTTTAGGTGGTCCAAAGTCGACTTGTTGTGGTAGGCAAAGGAGGCGAGAATGGTTTTACTTCGATATGCAAGGCGCAGCACCTTGGACATGGCGGTGGTCTGTGGCGTCTGATTTCGTGGCAGGTGCAGTGAATCGAGACCTTTGGACACATGGCTCGTTTTCAGAAATTTTGGGGGGTCTCATGCGATGTTGTCTTTGGACATGCTTTTGCTGTGAAACGCCTTGGCCGGGCTGCACGACGTGAATCTTGATATGCAGATTGCGCGACAGCACAGCGTTTTGTGAACCTCGAAGTGCAGATTTTGTGGCAAACGCCACATTTTGTGAACCTAAAAGCGCCTTTTTTGTAGCAGGCGCAGCTCTTTGCGAACCTTGAAGTGCGAATTTTGTGTGCTCTTACGCGCGTGCTCTCGTGTGACCGCTCTCATATACTTGCTCTCATAGGTGTGCGTTCATGTCTGTGCTCTCTCAGCGCTCTCCACCACTACAGTATCACTACCACTGCCACACTACGACACCACCACTACCACACTACCAATCGACCAGGAACACACCACCATACCGCTACCACTCCACCGCTACCACAGACTACCAACGCACTAGCGCACCACCATTCCATTACCACACCACCACAACATTACCACTACCACGACTACCACTACTACGACTGCCACAAGGACAACAAAGTATATAATCTTCTCACTCATCATTGTGATCTTCTGCACGACACTGTTTGGGGTCTCTTGCCGAGATTATTTTATATTAGATCCTCTCTTGGTGGCGACTTCCTCAACCTTGGACATCACTCTCAACTTACCAAGGTTGAACGGACCTCCTTCTCACCCTTTCTCCCTCTCTGCCGGCTTAGCTCTCTCCCTGGCTCATCGAGACGCCAACATTGCAACAGGCTAGGAATGGGAACACTACACGCAGTCTATTGGAACACATATATAACGTTATAAGATTTTGAACATCATTTAAAAAGCCTCCGCAGGTCCCTGGGTGTTTTGCTTGTTGGGCACCGTCCTGGCTTCATAAAGTCACCACCGAACTCGTCCACATCCGGAAAGTTGGCAATAAGAATTCGCTCTTGAATGAGACCAACTGTCGAGGTACCAGAAGGACTTCCATCGATTATCCTAGGCTCCGGCATGCTCCAGCTCAGTCGCATTTGCAGTGGGTGTAGGCCAACACGTGAAATCAAACCGACATGGCTAGGCCAATTGCTCATCAGAAGCCACCCGCCACGTGGTAGTGGGGCACCATTCCTGACAGTGACTTGTTCCATTGCAATCCGTTATTGAGTTGTATTTCAGACTTATGCGTTTGAATCATTTCATCACATTTACTCTGCCAAGATTCTTCACCTCCCACACGGACATTGGTTCGATAAACCACGAAGGCCAGACTTGTATCAGACGTGGTATACACGTCCACCTTCAAAGGTTGGCATGTTGCCGGGATGTTGAACCAATTAAAACCAAAAGTCATCAGGCCTGCACGGCCAACAGGACTTGACTTACTGATGCGTACTGGTCCTCCTCTGGAATTTTCAGAAGGATAGCCTCAGGAAGCTCTACCAAGTCAATAGGATCGGTTTTGTACCGTGGTGTGGTCTGCATTTTCGTCTGTGGTCCTTTCTGGCTCGAGTTTCCCGCAAGCGACTTCTGACTTATTTTGAAGTGTTGCTAGCTGCTTCTTTTCAGGTGAACAAACCTTGCTTGATTGCTGTCCATGTGGGGGCCCTGTTGCCAACACAGCTGCCCTGTTGCCAACACAGCTACTGTCTCTGATCTGGGTGTGGAGTCAGGCTTCACCACACAATAAACGCCAAAAGAATACCAAAAGGATAGCAGTCCAGATAGGAGAGGGTGAATGAAAAGCGGTTAGCAAAGCAGGTAAGTGGTGGGGGCTTATTGGGCTAGCTTTGCATATCCAAAACATAAAAAGATGCAAGCATGCATGTCCCATCCTGTCCCCATGCATACATTTACATGCGTCTACATCATGCGTGAAGTGGGGCAAACAAATGGGCTCCATGTTTTTTCAAAAAAACAGGTATATATATATATATGTATATTATATAGATTTACGTATGTGTTATGTGTTTTTCTGGAAGTGTTCCTTTATGCTCATTTGCCGAAACCTATGCGCTCAAATATCCAAAGTTCTTGTCGCACCAGGTCTTGCACAAAACACCCATGGAGGGCAAAGCTTGAAACTATTAAAGCACGAGCTGAGTGCACCTGGTGAGATCAAATGGATCAAACAAATGCATGAGGAAGGGTTTGACCCAGAGGGCACCCCTAATGATGATGATTTGCTGCAATTACCCGGCTTCCCATTACAATATGTTAAAAAGATCTCAGCACCTCGTTGTCTTGCACCACTTATGGGCTGGTCCGTGTCCTATAATCTTCCCAAATAGCAATGGCCCCCAACCAGCCTCCAACCTAAGAGCAATTATACCAATTATATTCTTCCCAAATTCATGGAAATCCAGTTGCCCGTTTCCCACCCTTGGCAAAACTGCAACATGCAATGATTCTGCTTGCATGCTCAGCCTCCAGCCTTGCAAATTAATTCGAGCCCTAGCGGACACGGGGCAACTAGGAAATAAAATATGTAGCGGACATGTTGAATCAGGAGGGTGGTCGAATCCGACCCTATACAAAGACTGGCGGCTGGAGGATCGACAAAGCGCAGTGTCATGCCTTCCTGCGGATCGAAGAAACCAAAAACAGTGAAGTTGCAAAAGTTGCTCCCACGGAATTGAGCATCAATGCCAAAACATCGTCTTACCAGATTGACATCAAAATCCATTGGAATCGGAATCCGGAATATATCGTGGAAATATTCACGACAGCGTCTTACGTGCCGAGAATCAGACTCTGTCCACGAACTATTCATGTTCCCATCAGTGCAAACTTCTCGAACGCGGAAATAGTAAGTACCTTGTACAAATCATGTCAGGTGAAGCCGTGCCACTACTCCACTTGAAACAACAAGCTGTGACCTACAAACACATCTGTCTATCTGCTTCAAAAGGTCTGCTGGTAATCCGGTCCACCTATCAATAAACGGCCCCCCCCCTAATAAGAGAAGCTCGGTCGCATTTTTTCTAATAGGGGGTCCCTGAAATCGGGGGGTCCAAAATAGGGTCACCTGGGAAGAGTTTCAAAACCAAAAAGTAATCCAGAACATTTTTATATAAAATCCGTTATTAAAATCGTATCAAAATTCAAAAAACCTCCAGATCGAAGGGTCTTCCTTTTCCGCTACAAAAACCTCTACTTGTGGCCCAGAGGGGGGTGGCGAAAGCTAGGCAAATAAACAACGCTGGGGCTCTTTAGGCAGCAAAAACCTGGCCGGGAACCGCAACATGCCAAAGGGAAAAGGAGAGTGCCAACAGCGCCCCCTCAATACGACCCCAACACAGCCAACACATGGCAACACACAAGCACCCCAGCAACCGCCGCAGCAGCAGCAGCAACTGTCACAACAACAATAACTGTAACCAGCAGCGGCAGCGGCAGCAAGCAGAAGCTACCAAGCAGCAGCAGAAGCAGCAGCAGGAGTAGCTATAGCAAGCAGCAGCACCAGCTACCAAGCAGCAGCAGCAGCTACCAAGCAGCAGCAGCAGCAGCTACCAAGCAGCAGCAGCAGCAGCAGCAGCGGCTACCAAGCAGCACCACCAGCTACCAAGCAGCAGCAGCACCAGCACCAGCAGCAGCAGCAGCAGCAGCTACCAAGCAGCAGCTACCAAGCAGCACCACCAGCTACCAAGCAGCAGCAGCAGCAGGGAAAGAGTGAGCTTTCCTTAGAATCTTTCGCGCCCGGACATTTGGTCTCGAACAATAGCACATATAGGTGCTGCCTGAGTAATTGTAGAGGGGCGACGTGGAAAGACAGATATATCTGATATATCATATCTGTTTTTCACGAATAAATGCTGACGATGCAGCCAGCAGCGGTGTGCATGATTGACATCTAGGGGTTGTATGCGAACGTGTGTCAGCGACCGAAGACTCCGTCGCAACGCTTGTGCATGCTCCCTGTCGCTCGAACATGGAACGCGGACTACCATGAGTGAAGCAAACAGCCCGTTCAAACATCTTACTGGGTTCTGTCATTCATGTGTGAAGTAAGTATCATCTTTTGATCTGCATGGATAGCGGATAGTGCATTCTGATTTGTACTCTTGGGTTGTGGGGTGGGTACATGCCTGTACAAGCTTCTTAAGGATATAATGAAATTAGCATCGTTTCACGACTCAGAGGGAATGCAACTACTCTCGATTCTAACGAATAGGCTTTCTTCAGCACCAACAGCAGCCAACAACCCCAAACAGCAACAGCAGCAAAACGGAGTGATGAAGCACTACATGACCCGCAGAACAATCCAACTGTCCTGGTCTATCAACATCTTGAAGAAGAGCTGCAACGTGCAGAGGCGGGTAGCGATGCTATGTTGGCCCTCACAACCACTCGCACGAGCAGACAACAAGCAGCAGGCAGCCATGCAAGCAGCAAGCAGCAGCAACCAGCAAGCAGCCAAGAGCATCCAGCAGCAGCAACCAGCAAGCAGCAGCAACCAGCAAGCAGCCAAGAGCCAGGCGCTGGCGCAGATGAGATGCCAGCAGCAGCAGCAGCGACCAAGCAGCAGCAGCAGGTACCGAGGAGGAGAAGGATGGAGTTGAACCCCGCAAGGGGGGGGGGTGTAGTCCTGATATATCAGGTAATAGCACTCAAGTCCTGGGCTCCCACCCTCCTTGCTAAAGCAAGACAGACTCCAGCTAGCTACAGCTAGCTTTCGTGATTAGAATACTGATTCATCATTAGACTAACAGCCAAAGCTTTCGAAAGGTGATGTCGCTGTGCCATTCGGTTTTCACGACCTCGGTGGCAAGTGCGTTTGCTTGAGTCCGTGCCATTGGAGGAAGGAAAACCTGCTGGTGTAAACGCGGCGTGTCACGAGGGAGTTTTGGGGGAACCTAATTTCCCCCAAAATCGACCATGTTGGTAGTTTAGTAGCGGTTTGAAAGGGCGTTAATTAAAAAACAAATATAAACCAAATTTAGGGCTTCGGACGTTGTGTTTTTTAATTGGGCGTGTTTATTAACAGGTACTCGGGATTATTCCCCTACGACTACTGATTGAAGCACTGTCACATCTGTCTGAGGCATTCACCACCTTCAGTGAGATTGGTCGCCGTGCACTCCACGGTGTCACGCGACGTAATAAACAAACCTCAAGGAGCAAAACAGGATGCAAAATGACGCAGACCTGCTTCAGCTCTTGGGTGACCGCGCATGCCTGAACCTTAACGGCCAAGGTTCTATCTTCACAGCCGATCATGTCTTGGTAGTCGCCGTCCACACCATCAACAACCTCCTTCCCTTCAATCTCAAATCCTGATTGATGCAACACAAGCTCCAGCCCTCAAATACATGTGCTGCTGAGTCTCATCTCCCCACGTCTGTAGTTCAAGTATGTTCAAGTCAATCCAAAAATCACACGGCCACAACACCTCTAGAGTGCGGGTTCCTCCCCTGTCCTGCGAAATCGCAATCATTTGGACTTCCACTAGCAAACTGCAACCTGATTCAAGTGGCAGGGCGTCCGGCGTTCGCACACAGTTGGAGGACAAACCTGGAAAAATCCAGATGCACGCACCAGCTGTGGATACCTTTGGACGCACACTAAAAAAGACTGGCTGCGCTGGTTTAGCGGCGTTGCTCGAGCTACGGGGTTCCCGCAAGGCATCCGCGCGGTAAAAACGGTAAAGGTATGTAAAGATATCGATTTTACGTATCTACCGGGGGTCGCCGTTTTTTCTACCATATCCGTGGTAAAAGAATTGTAAAAATATCTGTGTTTTACCGCTTTTACCGGGGGGTTGCCCTTTTTGTTCCGGTAAAAACGGTACAAATCAAGATTGGTTTACCGTTTTCACCGTGGGGGTCGCCCCCCATACCCGCGGAAAAAAAACGGTAAAATAGATGCGCTTTTCCGTTTTTACCCGGGGAACGGTTCCTTCCTCCGGAAAAGTCTGCCTTCAGGTGGCCCACAAAAGGTACACTATGTTGGGTCTGCCTGCCGGTGCGCTGCCTTGATGGCGCCTTTTTTCGTCTGAGGTGAGGGGCATGTTGGAGGGTAGAGTGGAGAAAGAGTAGCTGGAAGTGGTGAAGTTGACATTGCAGCCACTCTCATAGGAGGTAGAAACAGAAAGTATAGTGCACAGGTTCGGGGGGGGGGTTGGGGGTCGTTTTCGAAGTGAAAAAGGGCACCCTCGAAGGAAGTGAGGGGAGCAACTCAAAAACCTTCCGCCTCCAACGCTTGCCCGCTGCAATCTGCTCTCTTTCCTGCCCTCAACAACCCCTCCTTCCTGCTCTAAAGCTCACCCTTGCTGGGCCCACCCTTGGACCTGACGCAAGGGCAGTGCGATACTGAGCAGGGTGGCAGCTTCCAAACGAGGAGCTTGGGGCGGTATCCACTGAAGAATTCCTTGGTGGGATCCTTGACGCAGCTGCACCATTGGAAGGTGAGCGTGAGGAGCTTCTGGTTGCGAGGGGAAGTGGGGTCCATGGGCCATCCATGGGCGATTTAGTTGGGTTTTTGCTGTTCATGGCACGGGTTCGTGTGATTTCACCATCAGGTGTTAGATGGGAAACCATGGGCGCCATGGTCCAACAACATGGGGTTGCAATAGGTCAGGCTCGAGCGTAAGCAAATCAGCCAATGAGAAGCAGGATCGTTAGCTCAGATTGCAACGTTGGCATTGCTGATGATGAGTGGTATTGGAGGCAGGGCATGGTGATGGCACACTATGGGAAAGTGTTCATGAGGCAGCTTGATGAGAAGCTTCAGCTGCTGACATCTCCAAGGTCACACTTGGCCAGCAACATTGAGAGGAGGAACACGATATATAGGTTGAGGCATTTGGTTCTGAGGCTGGTTGATTTGAGGGGCTGGGTTTTGATGAGGTGGGGCGATGAGGCAGGCCATGATGAGGAATTTGCTACTCATTGAGTCTGACGCCACATGGGCTGGGCGCCATCATCATGAGATCATGTGGGCTCGCAATTGCACATTGGCATGACTGATGAAGGAAGAACAAATTTAAAGTGACGAGTGAGATCAAGAACATTGACGCCGCCATGCAATGTGGACTCATTGTATGGCCAGGCCTCTTCCCAAATCGTTACACAAAGAAATCCTTCGTTGTGGTGAGACGAAGCACCCCCACGCGTGCCATTGCAAGCAGTGTCACACATGCTACACAGCAGGAAGCCTCAAGGCAACGCACTTCAGCGGCACCAAAGGCACGAAAAGTATGACTGCAGTGCGCCTCAGGGTAGCCGAGCAAATAGTGCACTATCTCCGGCAAGCACTGGCGCACGTGTGGAACATAAGCAAATCAGAAGCAGAATCATTAGTTCAGGTTGCAACGTTGGCATTGCTGATGATGAGTGGCATTGGAGGCATGGGAGGCATGGGCATATAGTGATGGCAGACTTTGGGAAGTGTCCATGAGGCAGCTTGATGAGGTGAGATGAGAAACTCATGGCCATCTCCAAGTATCTCCTCGACAGCATCAGGCCCTGTCACACTGCTAAAGCAAGAGTGCCTCCAGCTAGTTTTCTTGAATAGTTTGTTTTTCCTCTGTAAACTCTATACGCCCCCGGTTGGACCACGAACGGCACTCTTTCCTGCACTAAATTTGGCCCTCATTGGCTCTCAAAAGGTGTGCTATGTTATGTTGGAGTTGCTCTTTCCTACTACGTTGGAAATGCATTTGTTCCTGTCACCGTGGCAGGCGCAGCGTCCTTGGAAAATTGGACGCCATTATGGTGAAGGCCTCCAAGGCTTCCACGGCGCGCGTGTACAAGCGAGTCGTTGTGGGCGTATACAAGTGAGGCGTCGCCCGTCGAAGGAAGCTACGTTGACACGGGAACATATCACATTTTTACAACATCTGGCGAATGATCTCTAATTACACCAGAAGGACAAGCACCAAAGGACCAGGGGACCACAGGGCTAGGGGACCAGCTGGTGAGGCAATATGTGTTTGTCTGCAAGGTGAGGGTTGTTAGATTTTATCAGATCTCAACGCAACCACAACCACACACACAAACCACAAACACACCATCGCAAACACACAAGCACAAAGGCAACCACAAATGCAAACGCACAACCACAAACATAAGGAAAAACAACCCCAAACGCACAACGGAAAACACACAATCACAAAAGCGCACCACAAACACAATCACAAACACACAATCACACGTGACCACAAACACAATCACAAACACACGGCCACAAACATACAACCTCAAACACCACCATCACTAACACTATCACTAACACAGCCACAAACACAATCACAAGCACACAAAACAAACGACAGCGCGGACAACCTGGTCTGCTATTTCGCCGGCGGCCGGCCGGCCACCCACAAACAACTAGCGGCCGGCCCGCCGGCTCGTCCGCCAGCGGCCGGCCGGCCATCTACAGACTTGCTACTGTCGTCGTCGTAGTAGTAGTAGTAGTACTAGTGGTCGTGGTGGTAGTAGTAGTAGTAGGTAGTAGTAGGAGTAGGAGTACTAGTAGTACTAGTAGTAGCAGTAGCAGTAGCAGTAGCAGCAGCAGCAGCAGCAGCAGTAGTAGTAGTAGTAGTAGTAGTACTGGTAGTAGTAATAGTAGTAGTAGTAGTACCGACGCAGTGGTTATTGGACGGCCGGCCGGCTGATCGAGAAATAGCGAGCGGCGACAAGCTCGCAATCCAATCACACAAACCCCAAACACAACCACAAGCACACAATCTCAAACACAAACACAACACCACAAACACACCAACCACCAACGCAAACACACGATCACAAACACACAGGCCCAACACACAACCACAAGCACGAAAACCATAAGCGCAACCACAAACGCACAACCACAGCACACAACCGCAACACACAACGGCAGCGCACAACCACAACACAGAATCACAAAAACACAGCCACACACCCACTCTCACTCTCAATCACACTCACTCGCACCCACTCGCTCCAACTCTCACTCACGCCCACCTTCACTCTCACTCACACCCACTTTCACTCTCACTCACACCCACTCTTCACTCACACTCACACTCACTCTCACTCACACTCACTCTCACTCACACTCACTCGCACTCAAACTCACACTCACTCACACTCACACTCACACACCCTCTCACTCTCACACCCACACCCACGCTCACTCTCCTCTCCCTCTCCCTGAGGACAAAGGCCCGGGTTCCAGCGGCATGGCGGCGGAGAACATCAGCCCGGCGCCGTGGCAATGGCTGCAAACATGATACTCAGGACCTGAAGACCAAGTAAACCAGGGACCATATTTTGGGGTTCCATTAGCTCAGGAGGGTGGAGAGAGGAAAGTCCAGAGGAAAGCTTGCCACTCATGGGATGAACCAAGTCGGAAGCTCCTCAGTGCCAAGTCCAGGCAAAAATCCAAAAGTCCATCGTTAAGCGGTAAAGTCCAAAGCGGAGAAAAGTCCACCTGGAAGTGAAGCTGGCAAAGGTCTCGCAGGTAGGAGCTGGATCCGGTGCGTGAGCTTGAGCGGATGCAACATCAACTTGCTGGGCCGCAGGGCAAAGACAAAAGAGCTAAGAGGATGAGCCGGATCCAATTTGCTGCCGTCTTTGAGAACTGGAGCGCATGAAGTGAAGATGCATCAGCTGGATGCATGAATTCAAGAAGGGAATGCTTGTAGGGCTCAGGCAGGACTCCATTGCGAGCAGCCGTGTTCAGCCGTGTGAAGGGTGTAGATTTTGCGCTGTAGTGATGGCACTTGCTCTCCTCACGGACCTTTGGAGTGTCCTGGCTGAAGATCTTCCTTCTCCATGGGCTCCTTTCGCCACCCTGGAGTCAAGCAGTGCTAGGAAGCAGAGAGAACCTCCCTTCATGGCCAATCTGCAAAGCAGGGAGACATAGGCCTGGCTCGCTTGATGGCGATATGCAAACCAAGCAATAACAATACAGCGAAATGCGAGGGAGTTGCCCAGCAAAGTCTTGCGGTCGTTTCTGTCGAATCCAAGAGGCTGCTCATAGCTCCGGGAGGCAGGATGCTGCGCAGGAGAGAAGGTAGTGCATGGCGGTTCTAAGGCAAGGCTCCGGAACCTCTTCTCAGCTATCATCTGCGTGATCCAATCAAGCAGCTTTGGATTGAGGATGTCGAATACTCTTGACCCTCCACATATCTCACCAAAGTCGAAGGCGAAGTCAAGGACATGATGAGGGCCCGCACCGAGTTGGCCAGGGTCAGCTTAATGCTCTTCGCAGGTTTCCTCGCCTAGGACTGTCTAGCCGGGTATATGCTCCCTTTCGATCTCCTCCTAGCCACAGTCTCTCAACAACATCTGTAGAGACCCTAGTAGAGGTAATGGCTCCTCTGTGCATAGAAGCATCTGTAGCGAAGACTTCCTCCGAATAGGGGACACTGATGTCGGTGATGGCCAAAAAGGAGGCAAGGGAAGCAAGAACCAGTTCTTCAGCGATGGCCATGGGCAGCTCAACGACTTCGTTTGCCGACTTGATGCGATGATTGCCAAGGCTGAAGAGCTTTTCCAGGATGCAAGTGAGGCAACGGCGGAACATCAGGACTGATACCCTATTACCTGCCAATCGTGAAGCCAGGCCGCGGGTGATGATGGGTAGCTGAGCAACTCTGAGAGATAGAACAGCCAAAGCAATCCTCTTGCCAACGAGCGCTCCAACACACGAGAGGCCCGCGCCAAGGACCTTTGAGGTTGAGTTGATCTCGGCCCCAATCGCTTTCAAACTGTCACTCCCTCAGATGGTCTTGTCATCAGAGCCCAGGACCTCAGCTTTTGCATAGGCGGCTTCAGCCCGGTTGAGGAGAGTAATCGAGGCAGCCCCGTCAGGTGAGCTTGTAATCTTCTCTCTCGAGAGCGTGAAGAAGTCATTAATCACAAGGCCTTGCCAGATGGGCCCTTTAAAAATAGATGATTTCTCAGGATGACTGAGCGCTCTTGAAGTGGGCCAGCGCGCTGGAAAAGAGTGCTATGGCTTTGGAGGGCATACTCAACGCCCAAGTGATCACCCTGGAAGAGGCTCTTGAAGGCGGCATAGACTTGTTCTAGCCCTTCTCCACAAAGGACAGGCCTGTTCTTTCTCTTTCGCTCTTGCCCCAAAAAATCGCCAAGTCTCTCTCTCTCTCTCGACAGGCTCACGTAGTATGCCATAGGGCTCATCCATCTCGCGGGAACCTGCGAAAAGAGAGGCGTTGAAGGCGAAAGGGAGCATGTTTGTGAAAGCTCTTTCACGAGTGATGGAGGCTTGATGGTAGAAGTCCCTCCTGTCAGAGACGCAGCCAATGAGGCGATAGCCCCTAGGGCAGTATAGTGAAGTGAGATCAGCCGAAGGTCCTCGCGGATGATACTCTACCCCATTCATGAATCTCCTGTCACCGATTTGTCTGTCGGTGGTCTCGTTCTTGTAGGCGTTGAACACCCGGGAGAAGAAGGGCGCAGGTCGATCGCACAGGGCAAGAAGCCTCTTGGAGCTCCAGACCTTGGCAAGCCGGAGGTTCTCTTCTGGCGAAGCTCGGCCCCACCCAGCTGCATGGCAGCCCACGCTGGAGGATGAGCAGCTCGAGGAAAGGAAGCCACAAAATACTCCCGTCCAAATAATCAGCCAAGGGGCAAGAGTCGGTACCAGTCAGCTTCAAGCGGCCTGCGTCTAAGCCTCTGTATGGTAGCACTGGAGTGAACTCGGTGGCAGGAACATAGGGCTTCTCGACTTGTCCAACCGCCCTTGGTTCTGTACTCTCTGTAGAGCCCGCATAGCCCTTGGTGTCAAAAATTGAATTTCCTGAGCAAAGGAAGAGAGCTCGATCAGTCTTGCAATAAATTCGGGTCCAGACCGCCCTGTTTGCGCCAGGCTTGGGGTCCTCCTCAAAAAACCAAGAGGGACAGGGCGAAGGCCATTGTACTGGTAGTTCAAAAGACCACAATGACAATGACACGCGACAATCGCTTGCGACAAAGCCGATGCCACTGTGCCCTGCTCATGATGAGGGAGCCCTGCTCCTAAAGAGTCCAAACTCCGGCAGAGGCCGGGAAATACAACGGTGCAAGGCCCAAGGGCATCGTAAATGAGAAAAAACGTCCTGGCTAGGAACGCTGAAAACCTCGTCCGCGTCTTCAGCACAAGCCGAGGCAGCATGGGACATAGCTGATGGAACGAAGTGCTCTGCTCCAAACTATCCTCAACAAAAAACATAGACCTCAGTCCTGAGCTTCCTCCTCCGTCTACCTCTTCCCCCTTCCAACGCCTGTCTTCTTCTTTTTTGGTCCTCCGGGAGCGTCTCCTGTCGGTGGGTCGGTCTTGTGATCCTTGGTGACCTCGGTTCACCTTGTCTGAATCACATCGAGCTCTTTGAGATACTGTAGTGTGCCACAGTCCCCCAAACGCTCATCCGCGGTGGCTGCAAACGCTCGGTTCCTCGCTGAGGAGGCAAAGGCTCTGTTGATCTTGCCCCCGTCCATCACTAGCTGCTCCAGGAAGACAAATAGGAGAGCCAGGGCATCCTGAGCTGCAGCCATATTCTCTCCCTGTAGGTGATCTATCACCAGAGCAACTTGCCAAATGATGTGGCCCTACTCCTTGAATTTTCCGTAGCCCCGAATCTCTCCAGACAGCGAGAGGCATAGACGCCTTTGTCCAGCAGCTGCGCTGGGGCTAGGTCTGCTGAACTGCCGTGAAGAAAGTCCCCTTGTGAGATGCTAACTGCTAACTCCTGAAGAAGCTTCGCTGGACCCAAAGCACCTTTGGAGCTGACTGTGGATGATGAAGCCCCCATCTCTACTAAAGGATCTCCGGATCCCGAAGCAATCTGTGAGACCAGCTGAGTGAGTGCCCTGCTCTGCTCGAGGACTGCCTTCGCTAAGGCGCTCTCTTGCTCGTCTGCAAGGAGATCTTTCACTGCCTCCTCCGTCTCCGCAGAGTTCATCTCTGCTGAGAGGGGTTGTTGCGGTTTCTTCCCAGACAAACTTTGCGGGGGTGGCATCTCCTTGACAAAAGAGCTCATGCAAGGGTGGCGGAGGCGACGATTCGGCGAAGGGCCTTCTCAAGGCAGATGGTCTTCCTGACTGCATGGAGGCCTCCATTGCGGATGTCCAATCCGCGAGGAGCTGCAGCTGTTCCGTCAGCTGTGATAGAGCCAGGTTTATACTTGTCACAGCCTCTGCCAATGATGCCACCGTAGGTCTCGACTTTCTCTTTTCTGGATCTCCTTCTCTTGGCAAAGTAACGTTCTTTCGCCTCAGAGGGGGGTCTTCTTTTGGAGTCTCTGGGGCAAGCTCCTCCTCTCCGGCTGAATAGAAGATAATCCTTTTCGGCGGGTTTTGAGAAAGAGTCCATCCATGAGCTGCTGTCACCAGGTCGTCTGCCCTTGGCCCACGGGCCTGCCAGGAAAGCTCGCTGGATCCGCTCAGGTCCAGTGTAGGTTGCCATACCAGACAACCTGCCAGCCAGAGCCAGAACAGTAGGAGGAGAATTGGGGAAGCTAGGTTCGATGCTGGCCCTCGTTTCCCGGCCTCGGTATCCCGAGGAGGTAGTGGATGATGAAGGCCTGACAACCTCAAAAGTATCCACCGCAGCTGTTCCACCAGAAGAAGTAGTAGAAGGAGCCGGAGATGATGCCAATCCAGCCACGAACCTGGCTGCTGAAAAGGATGGTCCTCGAACGGAGATCTGGAGCCCTTGAAATTCCAAAGCCAACTCAACGGCCTCGTCGGGTTCCCCCATGCACGTATGCCTGAAGTCGTGAAGGCACTGTGGCCTGAGCCACAGCCCGAGGAGAGATCTCGGGGATGGGCGGTGGAAGCCAGAGTCCAAGATAGCAAAAGGCCAGGATGGTCAAGAGGCAGCCAGAGACCAGGCCGTGACAAAGCAAGCTCAGGAGGAGTGGCAAGCTCGAAGGGCCGCAATGAGAGGGGCACCCTAATCCCCACCAGTTCGACTGGGCTCCCCAAACAACAAAGTTCAGGGTCTTCAGAACCTGGTCCATGTATGCTTGAGCATGGCGGAAACATAATATGCAATCGTTCCTAGGGTGCAAGAATTGTTAGGAACACGCAGCGATTCTTCGAGGAAGCTTCTGTCTGGGAGAGGAAGAAGCTTCCTTGAAGAGCCCTCGCTTGTGTCGCCTCCCACCACTGAACACCAGAACTTTTCAACCGGCTTCGCCACGCCATCCCCCAACTTCGGGCCCACCCCAAACCAAAAAGACTTCAGGCTCTGAAAGTTGCTTGCTGAACTTAGCTTCTGGGATCTCCTGGCCAAGCAACATCTTGTCGACCGCACCTTCTGGTTTCGGCCTTGCGCTCTTGAAAACGGAATGCAACATTGCATGCAACAAATATGCCACAACAAAGAGGAATCCAATGTCTAGGCATCATACCTCGAGGGTGCATAGATTGACAAAGGTGCTGCAGCAGGTAATTCACCTGAGAGATGGCAACTTGGAAGGTGGGTGATGAACACCAAACCGGTCTCATGTGAGCAATCTAGGGAGATAGAGTAGTTGTAGAAGTTGTAGAAGTTTTTGGCAAACATCTCAAGTTTTGATTTCGTCAAAGCACACATTATTTTCATTGACTTTCAAGTTGTCCAATTACTTACTTGGCACCACAAATGTTTGGTGCTTTTCAGTTGAATCATCGTCAAAGTAGTTAACAGGCCAAGCCACAAATGAACGTTTCTGGCAAGAAGAAACTTTCGTTGCAATACAAGGTTGCATATGATCCCACACCTTCCACTCTCGGCACATAGCCACTTGCACATTGTGGAGTGCAATCCTCTCGGCAATTGTGCATAGCAATGACGTCGCTAACTTCAAGGTAGTAACAAAATTATTACATAATATATACAATAGTTCACCAGATCCATGCGAATCCAACTGCTCTGTGCCGCGCAACACTTAGGGTTCCAAATGCTGAAAACGCAAACCAAGCATCACTTCCGTTCAGAACTTTACCTCAGGATCCACAAATACAGCACAGAGCTTGATGCTGTTGATGCGGTGTTGGGTGGTGGGCGGCAGTCAAGAGCAACATAGAGCAACTGCATGCAAAAGAAAACATACTATTTGGTGCAACTGACCATCAGCGTTGCTCTCTGCGCACGCAAATCTACCTCAATCCCACTGGGCCAGGTGACCATGCAAGCTGTCACAAGAGTTTCAAACCAAGAAAGACTTTCTGACTTTCTTTTCGAGGGGGGGGCTGTGGAGAGGTAGGTGAGGTAGGCTTCAAGGACCCCTCGCATGATTTGGTGCCTAGACCTTTGGGCCACGGCCCTGCTTCCTCACTTAATTAAGTAGGCACCTACTTTATTGAAGTAAGGGAGCAAGCTCCTAGCTACTTAAGCTTCTAGTAACTGGACGCAGGATAGCTCACGCTTCTTCAAGGAAGCTGCCCCCGCCGCTCTAGAGGCGGCGGGGTAGCTTCCTTGAAGAAGCGCCCGCACTAATGACTTGGTTCCTAGACTTTCAGGGATAAAACAAATAACAAACTATATATATAATAAACCCAGATAGCTGTTCTTCTTTCTTGCCTTTCCTTGAACCAAGTCCAGCCAAGCTCTTTCCATCGTCCAGTCTCAACTGTCAAAACAACAAGTAACCGCAAATTGGACTTGATGCTGCAAACCAAGTACAGTAAGGCTTTTTGTGTCAAGGATTCCTCCAGCTCCCATCATCGCATCATTAGGCTCCTTTCCCTTCCATTTCTGATGTGTCATTCTAGGCCAGTAAGAAAGTTCTGTTTGCCTATACATTGACGACTCTAACATCAATGGTCTAAGAAGCTACAGTAAGTTAATAGGAAAACAATTAAAATTACAATGGACAACATATTGAATTTTCCAAATTCAAGCCCATTCATACAACTCGGAACTCCTCAACCTGACCTGACTTTCGCTGCGGTGCTAAACTGCCTTCCTCTTACAGTACATGATAAAACCATTTGCAACGCTCCTGCTCTACCTTCACGTACACTACAAATGCGACACCAAAAGTTCAAAGAACTGACAGACTTCAAGACTTCCACATTAGGGCCAGGGTTTGCCGTCTATCCAAGGACACCACTATCAGACCATTGTCTCCATTGCGCCGGCTGATGCCAAAGGGCCATCATCAACTGCGGAGTTGGCAACCACAGGCTCTTCGCATGGCAACACATCGCAAATATACTGAGGCGCGGGAGATGCCCCAAACTCTTCTCTTCACAAAGGTGGCGCACATCTACCGTTCACTATTATCTTATTTATATATAAGTTACAGAACTCTCCAACCGAGCTTCAAACGAAAACCTGACCAAAAATCTAATATGCTTGCTGACCAACAACGGAAAACTTTAGAACTCTAGACTTCAAAGTGTGCCAAGACACATCTGTGGGGTCCAAAAATGAGTCGAAGTCAGTGTCGGATTCTGTCGTGCATGTGTGAGTTGAATGTCGCGCTTCAAATCCGGCTTTGCATGATGACCTCGATGAGAAGCAAAACGTACTTACAGCATTCCTTGCTTTGACAACTGGTCTTCATGTTGCCGCGTGCAAGAAAACACAGTTTGGATCATGCTGAGATTGTAGCGTGCATGTCTCTCCATGCGCTAGGGTGCTTCCTTCCAAGCAGTATCCGGTGGAAGTGTTCTTATTTGTCACGTCCGGAACCGCGCAATTGTCTTTCACGGTGACCGTCAATGTTTCCGATGAGGACTGCCCCGCAGAGTCAGTGCAAGTGTAGATTACCTCGACTGACGCAGAAGCTTGGTGCTGCTGCAGTCCAAACAACAAATTGGTCAAGTCATTTCACAACATCCATACCACAGCAGACATTTTCTGAGAAACAAGTTGCCTGGTAGTTGTTTGGAACGGCTAGGTTGACAGCCGAACTGTCGACCACGGGCGCCTTTATTGTCCCCCCATCTTCCGAATCGGAGCATGACGCATCAGGAACGGAGATCGATGAAGCTCCCACAAGGAAAGTCGTCTCACCATCTTCAATCGAAACCGTTGGCACTGTGTCAACACGCCGGCAATATGCCACTTGGCGGTCTGTTGCGTTGGCAAGCATGTAGTACCGTCCTGCAACTCAATCCCAGGCCCAGCGGGCAGCAATAAGGTAGATAGGCACATCTGAAAAAACACAGGAAAATCAAGGGATATGAAAGGATCATATATACTGAACCGTATTATCATCTATAAGGTCTGGCTGATCAGCTTTGGGACGGACCACCTGTACGGTCTCTCCTGTGCACAACGTCAAGAACTGACACGTCTTGTTGTCAAAGTATTGATATGCCACACATTCGGAAGAGCTCGCGGCAAGGCAGCTAGTTTCGCAAACCTCGTAGGTCCCCACATCTTCAAGCCTTCACCAACCCAAGCACGCGAAAGCAAAACACAACATTTGGCAATGAGGATGAGAAATCAAGCAACGGGACCCTCTGCTTGGCCGCTTGGAAGTCAGTGCGCCAAGTGCTGTTAGATGAATTCAAACTGTAACTGTAAAAGTATGTCTATAACAGCCCCATTCTTGCAGCCTCAAGCTGCTGAAAATGCAAATGAACTCAAAAGAAATACACAGTAATGGAGGGATGCAGTTAAGCCGCGTCTTGTTCACCGTGCTGCATTGAACCCGATTACCGCCGTAGGTTCCACCCGGATTTGGCTCTTCGCATCCCACTTCCACTGTTCGGGTGACTGACGCGTGTGAACCCATAGAATCATAGCCTCATTCTCAGGACATGCGTGACAATTGATACAAAAGTTGAAAACACGCACACACACTTTGACATTGGGTTTTCAATTCCGATCACTTGAAGGTGTTTGAAAAACGTGTTTTTCGTGATGCATGACTGCAGACAATTAGTTACTGATTACTTAGCAGACCGAATTAACGCCGTGCATGGAAACCTGGTTTGGGGGACGTATCATGAAAACATATGAAAACCACCATGAAAGCAAAAAAGAGAGTAGAACAGCTTGGACAACAGTTGATCGCAGGTACGTTTGCACCCAGATGGGGGGTGTCTTCGTTGGCCGGAGACCCCCCACCTGGCTCCGGCCCCCTGCGTGTAAAAACTCTTGGAAACAGAGTGTGACACATACACTCAGCCGCTTTGCGGCGCTCTGGCGCAAAAACCTAAATAGGCACCTAAAAAGCCTTAGAAAAGAAAGAAAGAAGAACAGAAAGAGCAGCGCTAAAAGGGCAGGAGAGAAAGATAGGTGTAGCAAAAGGTGAATACTTAGCCCTTGACTGGGGCAGGGAAACGAGCCTCAAGAACCACCTCAACAGTTTGAAAGAAAGCCCAAGAAACGACGAAAAGCGCAAGAAAGAAAGCGGGGGGCAGGGAGGGGGTGTATGTCCATGTGTGTACATGTGTGTGTGTCTGAATACTTAGCACTCTAGAGTTACCGATTACTTAGCAGAAACTAATTACAGTAGGTGCAATAGTTAGGGAGCGGGACTTTAGTCTTAAACCGCCGGGTAGAGTAGACTAGAACAGGGACAACAGAGGGAAAGGCACCGACACACAAGTGTGTCGAGTACCATTTCCCTCTGTTACCCTAATTAGGTGGGGAGTAGAGAACTCGGCGGTGGGGGGGTTGTGTGGGGTCATTCTCCGTATGCCCGGCGGCTTTGACATTCCGTATACCCGGCGGTCGTAAAAACCGTGGTGCCCGGCGGCTTGGATTTTGGGAATGCAGTGGTGAAACAAAGTCGGTTAAGATAATCCAACGTGTGCGGAAAGCAGCAAAATCCGTTAGTGATACTCCGGCATGAAAACAGCGCCCCAGTGACGGGGATCAAACCCTGCACCCAAGTGGGACGGCAGAGCGGCACACACTGTGACATTGGGATTTCAGTTAACTCAATTCTTCGAGAAAAGGAATGGCTCAACGGCAAGGTGAAGCATCTGATCACTTGAAGGTGTTTGAAAAACGTGTTTTTCGTGATGCATGACTGCAGACAATTAGTTACTGATTACTTAGCAGACCGAATTAACGCCGTGCATGGAAACCTGGTTTGGGGGACGTATCATGAAAACATATCAAAACCACCATGAAAGCAAAAAAGAGAGTAGAACAGCTTGGACAACAGTTGATCGCAGGTACGTTTGCACCCAGGTGGGGGGTGTCTTCGTTGGCCGGAGACCCCCCACCTGGCTCCGGCACCCTGCGTGTAAAGACTCTTGGAAACAGAGTGTGACACACACACACACACTCACACACACACACACGCATATATATATATATATAACACACATATATAATATATTGTTTGTACACAGAGTACTACACAGAGTATATGACATGTTGTGTTCTTGGTCTTGTTCCAAGTGGCACGTATATGTCACCTTGTAGATGGCGGCCACGTCCGATAGCACAGAGGTAACTACCTCCATCCTTGAAAGTGTGCCGCTGCCAGTGCTGTTGGAAAGAGCGTTTTGTTGGCAAACGCGATTTCCATCAAAGGAAGTGCCTCAGCTTGTGCTGTCCCGCAGTCTGGTCCGGCACTGTATGATTATCAAGGAACGGACAAGTATAAGTATAAATCAGCAAAGTCACAGTCGGTTTTGCAGCAGTAGTCACCTAAACTCAGACTTTCACTGAGCTAGAGTCAGCTAGAGGTCGACCAGCCCATTGTTTCATGTGCTCAGCATATCCATACACAATAGAAAGATTTGTAGATAGAACGTTAGATAGAACATAGACGTATATAATCGTATATATATAGTTACAATATTACAGTATATGAACGTCATGTGCCATTTGCCAGTTCAATGTCTTCACAGTAACTGTTTGTGAGAGACTGGATGTTGAGGCACCTCCACAGGTCTGTGCTACACACATGCGAGGGAGATCGGGTGGACAGCGTGCAAGGCCACCACTCAAGCTGCAACAGCCTTCAGTGTCACACTCGCTTCCATCACCGCAGCCATACCTTAAGGAGTGCCAACCCCAAATGCATAAGACATTGACACAAGCCTACCCATGCTCGGTTGACAAATGCTTTGCCAAGTTTCTTGCCATCCTCACTGGAGGGTCCAAAAAGCCATGAGCACGAATCCGCTGGATCAACACCGAAAGTAAGACTCGTACATGCCTCTCCAGATGTGACTGTCCATTGGCTGCTTTCTAAGGGTGGGAAGCTCTCGCCTCCCATTGCCCAAGCTTGTTCGCTCCCACTTGCATTTCGAAGGATCCATCGCTCAGAATCTGGAGTCCCTTGGATGTAACCAGCAACAAGCTCAGTCTGCAAAGTGGGACCTGTACCGAGGTCAGTTCTCAACTCGCCACTGGAACCAGCTTGCTGAGTGGAGTACAGCACACCTAGGCCTGCCTCATCCTGGCCAGCCAATTCAAAGCTGCTGGAATCCACCCCCGAGCATCCAGAGGGACTGCCGGTGATGTTGATGCGGGATGCAGCAGCTGGCCCAACTGTGCCAGAGATGCTTATCTCGCACACCTTCATCGATGTGCTCGACCCACCAAAGGTGACAAAGCGACCTGCTAGGGGTGCATCGCATTCTATGGTGCTCACACTTCCCAAAGATGATTCGGTGACACTTGCCTTGCACTCGGGACCTTTGTTAGCCTGCGGTCCAACCTTCAAGCTTGCCCCCGTCACAGACGCCGTTAAGGAAATGGAGTGCACCACCTTGCCGGAACCCAAGTCCAACCATATGTAACTAGAAGAGTCAACTTCTACGCATGATTCGCATGCTAGCTCTTCAGAGCTGGCCACATCTCCATCAAAAATGTTTTCCACTACACCATCCAGCACTGTACCACTGTACCCCACGCGGAGGATACTTAGTTGCTGGGCTGAGCCTAGCCCATTGGCGCCCCAAGCTGTGATGAGCCCATCCTCCACATCAGTGCAAACTGCACCATCGTCTGAATATGTTACATCCAGTAGTGCCAAGGTCTCCGAAGAACCTGTGAGGAAAACCTTCGGGACATTGTTCACCGTGATCTTTCTCACAGCGCTTTCTGACTCACCGAGGCTGGAGCAACTGTAGAAAAGACTCTGCGTCCCTGTTCTTGAAGAGTCCGCTTCGTTCAGTACTTCCCGGAACGGCAGCACTTGATTGTGGTCATCTTTGCAGCAAACTCCAGGATCGTTGAACTCTTCTCCTTGGATACTGCATACTCAAGTCAAGCTGATCTACAATCCTACGCATCATATGCATGTCTAGTCCAACTACAGTAATTCTGTGCAATTTGCCTCCATGCCTACCTGCACCTATTACTGTGGCATATGCGCCTGGCAAGGGGCTCAAGCACATCCCAAGGCTTAGCACAGTGCTGCCGATGCAATGCATATGCAAAGCAGAGTCGGTCGCTTGTCTTCCATATCACACAGCTGCAATTGCAATAGGTTTCGGCTGTGAAGGGATGAGTGCGTCAACATGAAGGTGGCTGGAAATCTGCCCCAAAAGACCACATGACACATTTCCCAAGAGAGAATGATGGGAATTGAGAACTTCACACAGAATCGGAACATAGTCCGACATTATAAAGGCGAGGCTCCAAGGAGAAGAGTCATGGACGCTGGTCCGCGCAAAACAGGTGCCGGCAGGTTGCTGGTGACATAGACAAGCCTGCCCCGGGCAAACCGGAACCGATGCCTTCTTCATATCTTCTGGGAAGGGTCTGTTTTGTCTCTAGGCGGTTTTCAGGTGGCACTAACATACTGACGTTGCACCTGTTTGTGGTCTCCTAGCACATTTAGAAAGTGAAGAGATGAAGGCGGTTGAATGAAGCACACCGAGGCAGCCCAGTCGTGACCCGTCCTGCTTGTTGTCCAAACTGTACCATTGCTGTCAGTGCAGGAGTAGGTCACTGTAGTTTCTGCTGCTGTGGACATATTGAGGTCCGGGCTGGCAGTGTAGATAATGAGCCCACCATTTGTATCGACACATTGTGCACCAGGATCATTCCAAGTGGAATCTTTCTCCAGCACAACAACAGCATCGCCACGGAGCTCTATGGCAGGTGAAACTTGGACATATCTCACCATAGTCGAAGTTCTACCTTTGCTATCCACGCACGAGTAGGTGATGCTAAATTCACCAACCTCATCCAGTTGCAGCGAAGCTGGAGAGCTGGACACTGACAGCGGCTTCAGGTCCCGGTCAATGCAGGAAACTCCTGGTTCACTGAAACTTCCATCTGATTGTCGAAGAATCATGTTTGTCAGGCCTTCCAGCTTGATTGGATGGCGAACCTCAACAATCATCGACCTGGTGGTTTCCACGCTGTCTTTAGAGCATGCGTATTGCACTGTGAAAAGCCCTTCGGAGGCGGTAGACACACTGGAACTGCTGAGGTTTACACTTCCACTCCATGTGCCTGCGAGCTCATATTCATGATAGCAAGCTTCGGCAGGCCAAGAAGTATATTCTCCTGGTGCATCAGATTCACCCTCTTTGATAACTACCCTCCGCAAGGCCTGTTGCATCATGCACTTGAACGCAAGACCTCTCACACCAATCACAGCATCACCATTGGCTTTGATCTCCAGGTTGCTCCCGTGCGTGAAGTCAATGGCCACTGTCTTTGGTGATTCGGAATTCGTTGCAGTTGCTTCACTGACCGCATTCAGAAAAGCCTCCACGGTGTCGCTGGATGAAGTGTTGTCATTGCCAAAAGTCAGGTCTAAAGTTCCGTAGCCAGACAATGTCAGAGCAATGCCAGCAGATGGTGAACCTCGGTATCCAATATACCCATCTGCTAGCCACACATTTGCATCGCTTGTATTTATTGTCCAACCTGCGGCTGCCATTGCCTCTGCTGAGGCGAAGTTGTTGAGCTGCAAGTTGCCACCACACAAGACTGACCTTGGAACGTAATTGATAACAAAGCACATGAGTCGGTTGCAAGACCGTTCTTAATCTGACAAATCATCCTTTCGCACCTAACAGCCGACCCTTATCCTGGAATCCTAGTGCCTGCAATCTGGATTGTGCTATAAGCAGTGCGCCCCGCAGCAGCAAGCACTCGGGCATGCCGCCAGGTCAAAAAATGAGTTGGAAGCTCTAGCCACATTGAAAAGAATATATATATATATAACTAAAATACCTTGAAAGAAAACATAAACAGTAAAAGTGGATTGGTTTGCTCTAAGGATCGCCTCTGGAATCAAGCACGACACGTCATCATGATCTCGACAAATCCTTCCCGCATTCAGTAGCGTGTCCAGACAACAAATGTTGTTTGCTTCATCAGAACCGCAGTCTTCACCACCGCAAGTTTCACATGATGCATCGCAGCAGTACAATGTGCCAGTGACATCCTCTGGACGGCTTCCGTTGCGGCACCAAAGATCTTCCCCACATCGAGCCACAAAGGAAGTCCCAACGATTTCCACGATGCCAGAGGCCAGCGAAGAACTCGAGAATTCGAGGTCACCATCCACGTACCCCTTTTTCACTGTGAAGAATTCCTCGTCTTCGCCTTTTAGATCCGTGATGCTGCTGTTGTCAAACTCAATGCGTGCTAGCAACACATCAGTGGGCAAGGGCACAAACTGCGTCCACGTTGCACCTTCAAGGTATTGCCACTCTATCCCTGTGAAGCGTACACACGCAAAGTTCTCTGCAAAGCCAGTTGCTTGAGAGGACCACCGACTTTCCCGAGTTTCCTTGGTAAACATCAGGAATCCCAAGCGAGCTTCAGAGTCTGATGTTCCACTATGTTCACATTCCGCACCGCTTCCCAGTGTACCAACCGAGCGTGTGCACGTGCCGGGCACCACCGACGAGGCATAGTCCTTAAGAAGCAAAGAACAGTGAGGGCATTACACAAGTGCAAAGAAAGTCGGAGGGTGTGTGACTCATTCGGCTCAGCCGCATAAATGTAAAAGTTGCCGCTCTTGCCCGTGGATGAAGTTGTACACTTATCTACGGCAATGCTGCTGTACTGATCGCTTGAAGCTGACGTTGGGCCAGACGTAGCTGGAAATCCAATGCCAGAGCCACCATAGGCGTAAGAGGTCCAAGCATTGCTGTCATCAAGCGCGTCTGTCAAAGTTGGGTAGATCTTGAAATCAGCGCCTTCCCAACCCCAGAATGTTTGCAGGATTTTGAAACTTCCAAACTATGTTTGCAGACTTTGAATAGTATACAGATTCAATTTTGATTCAATCAAATGTGTGACTACAGTCCGTATATCCACTTTGGCCCTTCTAATATGCACTACTATCATCTACTATCCAGTGCAAGTCGGTCGGTAGCAAGCAACATGGCCAGCGGCCAGCACACAACCTTCTGAACCCAAGAGCCCACCTTCGACATTATCCACCGATGTCCATTCGCACGCCATCATTGTGTAGGCAGAGAAACTCATCGGCATGTCGGTCAACCTGCCACAGCGCTGCCAACATGAACAACATGAACAACTGCAAACAAAAAACACAACATCACTCAACCAAAATCAAATAGACGGGGTCCACCTGCAACAAAACACTGGCCTTCTGTAGTAAATGTCCTGAAAAGCTCCGTCGCAATCTGGGCACGTCCGCCGGATGATTTTAAATTGACTTGCGCGAAAGCGGCTGTCAAACTCCAACTGGCCCAGTGTATGGACTGTGCCATTGGAGCTCAACCCCAAACCGAGGCGCCACTCCTGAAGCAAATGGTTCTCAATCACACAAATAGTGAATTTGCTGAATTTGATCTCTGGAAAACTAGCTGGGTGGTAAACTAGACGTCTGGCAAACTATATGCTTAACTAGGCCCCTCGTAAAAATGAGACATACGAGTTTTATGAAAAGTGTGACAATAGGCCAACTGTTTGAATCAGAAACGCAAGCAATACGGTTTGCCTTCAGGCATACGACGCAATAATGAAAAATGAGCAGCCATATGCTATATCGTAGTTGTTTCGTATCGTTTTGATTTGTGTTGCTTCGTGCTGCTTGTAAAAGATCACCAAGTGTGAACATATATGCGAAACAATTAAACACAGTAAACAGTGTTTGCCTCACTCTCTTGGGAAAAACCGCTGCAAGTGAGGTCATCTCTGTGACACATCTAATGTCTTCTTTACACATCTATGAGTGCTCTGCCGCATCTTGGCGCCCTACTTCTTCGCGGGATGTCCAACTCACGCTAAACCTTCATGCATCTCTCTCTGTGAGACATACTGCGAATTTACATCTAGGTCTAGGTTCTCAATGTCTCATGGCTCTCACTTCTCATCCTCCGCATTGTAGGTTGCCATTCTCCTGTGGCTCAGTCTGCTCTTCATGACTCTCTTCATGGTACGTGAGCCTCCTCAAAGCTCGCGGGCACAGTTCCGGGTTCCTATGCCAATGCTGCTGGTCGGTTCGCTCAGGCTCACCACTCTGATGATGTTTCACGTCATGAATGTCCACTGTTGCAACCATGGTCACGTCATCGTCCACTCCGAATGCTTCTGGTGGTGGGATTCAAATCCGCCCATCGTGGTCACTGCCATCAATCTCAATCAAACCTTCTCCTTCTCGCGCTCTTTGCCTCCTTATATGTACTCAGTTACTCTGCTCTTGCTGCTTCTGCCTCTTCTCCTCGAATCTCTATCATCTCGTCACCTGCTCTCTCCTCTCCATTGCCTGACGCTCAAGCCGCTTCTTCACAAACAAGATGCTTCGCCTGTAGCCACCCGGTGTCCGACCTGCCGAATGAACTCCGAGAGATCTCGGGACGCAAGCGTCAAGTATGTTTCAACTCCTTCTCCTCTCAGCAAAAATTGCTCTCGGTACCATTCAAAGACTTCTAAGCCACGCGATCCAACTCTTCATTGTTGCTCTCCTCTGCGCCATTTGCCAAAATGCTGCTCGATCTTAGTGAGGCGTCATTAAGTGTCATGAAGATGAAGCATCTGCCAACGTTGGTCCTCAATGCCTTGGATGCGGCTCATCCGCTCGCTGATGAGATCACCTTCGGCCTCCCACTCACGCTCAAGTAGTTCTCTTTTATCTGAGTCTGCGCCCCACTCAACTTCTTCAGGGCCACTGGCGGCCACTGTCTCTGTCTTCTCCACCATTGTCACGACGTCCACGTCCTATAGGTCTTGCGGCGGATCATTGTTCTTGATGTTCAACACGTTGAACTTCTCCGGGTTGAGGTCGGTCTCCTCCACGAAGTGGTGCATGTTGCTCACATTCATCATGTCCAGAGAATGATGTGACTCCTCCGAGGAGCCACATTTTGAAGATCTTGCCGACCTTCTTGATGTGGCCGATCACCTTCTCCGTCTGGGTTCAACTACTCCACGCGAAGCTTCATGATGTACTCGTCGGCACGGCCCTCCGTCCAGCAATGGGTTGTCAGCTTGATCACCATGAGCTAGGTTCTAGTTTTCTCACCCAGCGTGGGACAATCACCTCCACCAATTAATGCTGCTTCGCTGAAGCATCCTTGATGTCTGTGACATACAGGCATGAATCCAGCAGGAGTCAAACTGAACTGCTTCTGATCTGTGTTTCCTGCCCTGTTTGTCTGGCTATGATTCAGCGCCTGCCTCTGCGCCTCCAAATTAAAAAACGCACGGTGAGCCCAGCAAAGTGGCTCCTCAATGCTCCTCATCTGTTACTGCATCATCTGACGCTGCAAATTGTTGTAGTTGACTGATCTCTTCCAGCGTCGCCTTCTGGTCCAACTGATTCAGCCCTGCTTCACTGACATTGGGAGGTCCGTCACGTTCAGCATGATCACCAATTGTCTTCTCGGTCAGATCCATCTCCACTTCCAACTCTGGGCGATGTCAGGGTCAAAGGCCCATGGCCCTAGAAGATCGACCTGCTCGTCCTCATACGCGTCGTCATTGTTGTCTTCTACCGCGTTGTCGTATGTTGATGTGGCCAGCCAGAATTGGTAAACGCAACTCTTGTCTCTTTGCTCTTTCAGCGCCGTCTTCACTACGCTTGTAACGCTTTGATGGTTGTCCTTCTCTGCTCTCAAGGTCAAGCGTCTTTGTCCCCTTGAGAACGCTAATGTTCATTAGATCACCTTCTGCACTTCCAGGTCCGCCATCTGTTCGCGCCTTCTTTGGGATACGTTCATCCTCTTCTGCCCTGCCTGCGGCGCTTGGCGCGTACTCATTCTCATCTTCGCTGTCAAAATTGGCTTGCGGATATTTCACCGCTTCTTTTGAACCTTCATCCATCACCTCCTGGAAAGGAAGACATTCTGGTGAAGGAAGTTCACGAAGCTTCGCCTTCATAGTCCCGTGAGCTGCTGCTTTCTTCATTGAATTTGGCAGGACCTCCAAGCCAACCAAGAGCTCCTTGTCGAACTCTTCTGCGCAAAGCCGGCCTGCTTTGCTTTCGCCCTCGCCAAGCGAGAGTCTTGACATGCAGCAATGCCTTGATCAGCCCCATCCTTTCCTAAACTGCAATAGCCATCGTCTCTCGCTTGCGCTCATCCAAAATCAAGAGCAATGACTGCGTTGCCATAGCGTCACCCGTGAAGTGCTTGAAACGGTGTCATCTTCAATGCGCTATGATAAGCTGCATATCTGTTCAATAGCCATGCGCTGCACTATGTCTGGCTGCCCGGCGGTGGATTGCATGCTCTGGGTCTTAAAGTAAGTGCAAAATGAGCGCCATTGCTTGATTGCGATTGGTCCGGGTGTATCTGCTGCAGTCTCGACTTGTGAAGGGCCTTGCCTTGTTCATGTCCAACATGGTTGCTAGGCCCAGTCGTTTGGCTAGCTCCAAGCCTGCAAGCTAAACTTTTTTGTGATCACAAACCAGCTCCACCTTCTCAACCTGGCTGGTCCACACGCCAACGAGCACCATACTCCTCCAGTTACTCATGCGCTCTATGGCCAAAAGCGTTGCCTGTCGACGCTCTTCTCGTTTGACCCCATAGCTCAGCCTGTCAAATTGTTCTCTCTCCAAGAGAGTTCTTGTTGTATGCCTCGCCTTTCATTGCCACCTTGTTGCCCTCGATCTCTTTCATGTCTGGTGTTGGGGCCCGAACCCAAAGCGTGACACTTCTCTCTGGAATCAAACTCCAGTCTCTTTGTCTTTTCTTTCTTCCATGGGTTCCATGGGTGAGTTCATGAGTGTCTCACCCATTCCACGCTGTGCCACCAGCTTGTACACGTTGAAGTGTTCCACATATAGGCCTTCGCGAAGGTCGCGTCCACAAAGTCCATGATGCAGTTGGATCGAAATCATCTGCTCTTGCGCTCCAAGACGTGGAGGATGTAGTTCCAGCCGTCATGGCCGCTCTGCTCCTTGCCGAGCTTCAGTTCATCCCCGCGACATATCCAATGTCTTCTTTGCACATGTATAAACGCTCTGCTGTATCTTGACAGAACCACACACAATCGTTTGTTTGCAGCGCTGTATTTGCTTCAGATTGTTCCCTGCCTGGCAGGCGAGGGTTGTTAGATTATATCGGGCTGTCCTCCTCTTCCTCCTTCTCCTCGAGCCTTCTCCTTCTCCGGACTCCAGGCCTAACTGCAACTGCTTGATCGTTGTGGGCAACCTTAACTGCTCTGGCATGCATTCTCGCATTGTATCGAGCAGCATACGTGCTGGCATTCTTTCAGGCATACATTCTGGCATGTTATCTGGCATATACTCAGCCATCCTATTTTGGCATAAACTCTGCCAAATGTTCTGGCATTTTGTCGAGGTCCGGCGGCGCCCACTGCGATCCAGCACTGGTGGTTGAGGTCCGGCGGCGACTGCGATCGAGCGCCTATTCAGTCGGGTGCTGGAAAATATGTGCCAGAAATAAAGCGTCAGATCGATTGCTAGAATTGTCCCAAATAAAATACCTGAATGTAAAGCCGACAGAATGTCAAAAAAAAGCCCGACAGACTCAGAATGTAAAACAGCAAAAAGATTGTCAGAATATATGCAAGATAGAGTGGCAGACATCTGCCAGAGTCTACGCCAGGTAGAATGCCGGAAACATGCTAGATAGAATGCCAGAATGTAAGCCAGGATCTTTTACCAGTTAGGACGCCAGAAATTTGCCAGGTAGAACGCCAGAATGTCTTCCAAAAATGTCCGAAAATATTCCAAATAGAATGCTAACAAAAAGGCCAGATAGATTGCCATGGCATGCCCGAATCAATGCCAGGAGGAGAAACTACATACTAGGCGCAACGCCAGCCAGCAGCAATGCCAGATAGAATGCGAACACATGCCAAAACATAGAACGCCAGAATGTATGCAGAGTTTATGCCGGATAGAGCCCCCAAAAATATGCGACAAACATGCAACATAAAATGTCAGTGTGTGTGCCAGAAATATGCCAAGTAGTACACGCCAAGCAGACTGCAAGAATAGACGCCAGACAGAATACCAGAGTATGCGCCGGATAGGATGCCTGACACGCCAGATGGAGTGCGAGAATATATGCTGGATAGTGCCAGAATATTTTTGCTCTATCATTGAATCATTGATTACAGAACCAGTGTCGGAATACATGCCAGAAGACATACCAGGACCGAAGCGGGACCATATGTCACAGCACATGCCAGACTTCACAGCAATGTCAGAAAACGCGCCAACAAGGACGTCAGAACACAGTCTAGAACCTTCCCCAGCCTTTATGATAGATGATGTGCCAAAACACAAATCAGACTTGATGCCAGAACAAGGTCAGAACATTGTCCATCCGCATGTCCGCCCTTGTCAGGCTAAATACACGTGCCCTGCCTTTTTCCAAATCGCCGTTCAGTTTTAGTAAGCAAGTATGAAAACAAAAAGAAAAATGTGAACACAATAAGATATGATATATAATTGCTGTTATTTGCTGTTCATGTTTCGTACTTTTGATAAGGCTTTCGTAATTTTTCATATCCCCAAAAACTTGTCGTATGTTTGTCATATTTCCCCAAACAGTTGACTGTTAGGGGTTCTCAATTCTTTCTTAAGATGTGTCCGCCCTTTGTGTCACTGCTGGTGTCCGCCCTTTCCGCTGGCCATGTACCATTTCTGTTCATTTGTCTCCCAGGTCTGTCACTGGTGGTGTCCGCCCTATTCCGCTGGCCATGCAGCGTTTCTGTTGATTTGTCTCCCAGGTCTGTCACTGCTGGTGTCCGCCCTTTTCCGCTGGCCATGCAGCATTTCTATTCTATTCATTTGTCTCACAGGTCTGTCACTGCTGGTGTCCGCCCTTTTCCGCTGGCCATGCAGCGTTTCTGTTGATTTGTCTCCCAGGTCTGTCGCTGTCCGCCCTTTTCCGCTGGTGCAACATTTCTTTTCATCTGTCTCCCAGGTCTGTCACTGCTGGTGTCCGCCCTTTTCCGCTGGCCATGTAGCATGTCCATTCATTTGTCTCTCAGGTCTGTCACTGCTGGGGTCCGCCCTTTTCCGCTGGCCATGTAGCATTTCCATTCATTGGTCTCCCAGGTCCGTCGCTGCTGGAGACCGCCCTTTTCCCCCTTGGCCATGTTTTCTAAGAGTGTTTGCCTTTCTGAGAGTGTCTCCCTTTGAATCTCCTTTTTGTTTCCCTTCTTGTCCTGCTTGTCTCCCTTCTCTCCAGTCTTGTCTCCCTTCTTGTTGGTCATTGTGTCCGCCTTGTCTCCCTTC